GGGGAGGGGGACCCCGAGACTGGGGAGGAGGACCCCGAATTTGGGGAGGGGGAGGGGAGAAATGGGGAGGGGGACCCCTAAAATGAAGAGGGGGGACCCAAATTTGGGGAGGGGGAGGAGGGAGGGGATCCCAAATTTGGGGAGGGGGGACCCCGAAAATGGGGAGGGGGGCCTCGAATTTGGGGAGGGGAAGGGGGGGACCCCAAATTTGGGGAGGGGGGAGCGAATTTGGGGAGGCGGAGGGGGGGACCCCAAAAATGGGAGGGAAAGTGGAAAAATGGGGGGGACGCCAAAAATGGGGAGGGGGGACCCCAAAATTTTGGGGGAGAGAAACAAAAAAATGGGGGGGACCCCAAATCTGGGGAGGGGCTCTCCCCCCAATTTTGGTGTTTCCCCCCCAAATTTTGGATTTCTCACCCCAATTTCGGGTTTCTGACCCGATTTTGGGGTCTCTCACCCCAATTTCGTGTTTCTCACCCCAATTTTGGGTTTCTGGCCTGATTTTCGGGTTTCTGACCCCAAATTTCGGGTCTCTCACCCCAATTTTGGTTTTCTCTCCCCGATTTCGGGTCTCTCACCCCAATTTTGGGTTTCTGACCTGATTTTCAGGTTTCTCACCCCAATTTTGGGTTTCTGGCCCGATTTTCGGGTTTCTGACTCCAAATTTTGGGTTTCTGACCCCAATTTATTGTTTCTGACCCGATTTTGGGGTTTCTCACCCCAATTTCGGGTCTCTCACCCCAATGTCGGGTTTCTGCCCCCAAATTTCGTGTTCCTCACCCCAATTTCGTGTTCCTCACCCCAATTTCGGGTTCCTCACCCCAATTTCGGGTTCCTCACCCCAATGTCGGGTTTCTGCCCCCAAATTTCGTGTTTCTCACCCCAATTTCGGGTTTCTCTCCCCAATGTCGGGTTTCTCACCCCAATTTCGGGTTTCTCTCCCCAAATTTCGTGTTTCTCACCCCAAATTTCGTGTTTCTCACCCCAATTTCGGGTCTCTCACCCCAATGTCGGGTTTCTGACCCCAAATTTCGTGTCTCTCACCCCAATTTCGGGTTTCTCTCCCCAATTTCGTGTTTCTCACCCAAATTTCGTGTTTCTCACCCCAATTCCGGTGTCCCCCCAGTTCCCGAGGGGCCCCCCCAGAACCTGAG